TATTAGATAGAACGTCTAGCTCCTATCGCTTTAGGAAGAAATATATGCTTATAGTGATAGGTAACTTAATATCTAACGCTTTTTCCTAAATAGTAATAGCCTCTAGAGTATACATATAAGTATATAAGTATTAGATAACGCACTTAATAGCTTTAGTAAATCTTTTAACGTTCTATTAAATAATTAGTAAAGCTTTATTAATATTAAGAAGCTAGCTATTAATATATTTAGCTGATAGGGGGGTAGAGTTACTAAGATTATTTAAACTACGCTTTTACTTACTACTAGTTTATAATAAGGGATAGGACTTACTAAAGATAGGCTTTTTAGGATTAATATTATTATCGCTAATAATATCGTTATTAATATTATTATTATTAATATTATTATTATTAATATTATTATCATTAATATTATTATTATTAGAGTTACTATTATTAATATTAATTTAGTTACTATTATTAATATTAATTTAGTTACTATTAATATTAATAATATTTAGATTAATATCTATAAGATTAATAATTAAGTTTATAGCAAACTTATCTAACTTATTATCTAAAGTAATAAGCTTTAGGTTATTAATTAATTTTAATAATAAAGTTAGATTAGCTTTATTATTATTCATAATAGCAGTCTTTCTCTACTTAGAGGTTTAAGGTATAGATAGGTTATTAGTCCTTAGCACCTTATTAGGTCTATTTATATAGGAGGATTCTCTAGTAGGCTTAGCTTAGAGGACTTTATCTATAAGAATACTAATAGAGATAGACTTAGAAGTATTCTTCTAAGTATATTAGCAGTCTAGTTAACCTATATAAGTAGGTATTATAGTTCACTCTATACTCGTTTTCCTAGTACTTTAAACCTAATAGCAGCACTTTAACCTATACCTAATCTTAATAAAGCAAATAAATAAATCTCAGTATAACTAGTCGTTAATACTTAGTTTAACTTATCCCTAGTAGAAGAAGGTAGATAGGCAAGCAGTAGAGCAGTAAAATATACTAATAAGAGCGTTATTTATAATACTATTATTTATAAGAGCGTTATTTATAATATAGCTAGAGCTTAGTAATAGCTTAAACCTATACTTAAGGGCGTAAACTTAATAGTATAACTCTTCGCGTAGCTAAAAGGGTTCTTATAGTTATAGTATAAGAACTTAACTATTTAAATAAGGCCTTAAGCTTATTCCTTATATCCTCCTATATATACTATAACCCTATATAATAACTTTCCTAGTTTTCCCACTTATTATAACTCTGTATAAACTAAATAAAGCCGTACTAGATAACTTAATCTATAAAACTAAAGTTAATGAAATTAAAGGCTCTAAGTATAGTAACCTTCTCTATACTAATAAAAAAACTCTCCTTAAATTCGCCTAGAAGTACCTACTTAAAATAGCTAATAAGAGTGATATAATAGAGTTATATAGCCTTAAGATTAATATAGAGATAGTTAAGGCTATTAATAACGATCTTAATACTTATAATTACTTTATAGGCTTCCTTAAGATAGCTAAGGCGGCCTAAGCACTTATCAATAAGTTAGGAAGGGCGAATATATCGAGAGTATAGCTAACGGCGGCAGGGCTCTTCCCATGTTGAGACTGCGTAGTAGGGCGGAAGACGTTATCTGGGCGCAGACGTCCAAACAGCGGAGGAGAGAGAAATAGAGGAGACTAACGCAGATAGAAGTAGCTAGAGGAAGACGATTGAGGCTTGTTATAATGGTTGAAGTCGGAGGAGCGTGGAGGCGAAGAAGATTTCTAAGTCTGAACTACAGTTACATGACCCGAAGGTCGTTAGTAGAGGGCGAGGGGACCAGTCTAGCTTTCGTAGTCAATACCAGTCAAATTTCACAATACAAGGCCAGCGGCCTACATTCTTCTAAGTATAAAGGGCTATATTTATAGTATTAAGGATAGTTTTATTTATAAACTTTATAGGTATAGATATTTAATTAGTAGTATTAAGTATAAGAGAATACTTTAATATAGTTTAAGATTTAAGGTCTTAGTTATTATTATTATTAGCAATAATAAAGCTAAGTACCTAGATACTTAGGCTTACTTTATAAGTAATCTCAGGTACTATAGGTTAGAGGGTGGGAAGAGAATAGGAAGTAGGTATTTTAGGAGGATAAGGACTCTAATATAACTATTAGTAGGTATATAATTAAAAACATAAAAAATACTTACTATAGAGTTAGATATATTTAGTAGTTAAAGGTTAGTGAGGGTTAGTATTAGTAGTGTTATTAATATTATTAGTGTTATTATTATTAGTAGTAGTACTATTAGTAAGTTTATGATATTATATCTCTAGAAAACGAGAGTCGCTATAATATAACTACTTAAAGTTTATTCTAGCTGATAGACCAGGTTAGGAAGGTAGCCTTAATAAACGCAGCAGTAGCTACGCACTTGCACTTAATGCCTTTGGTCCTCTAGAAGGAAAGCGCCCTTGGTTGGAAGGTTTTTGGGTGTTGGGGGTTGCCGCTGCGGCCCCGGTTGATGACACGGTCGGGTCGCATTGGATCAGGCAGATCTCGACGCCGGCCGGGGGTGGTGGATCGTTGATCGGCAGGCAGCAGAGAAGGAACAGACGGACGGCACTGCCAGTATATTGCATACTTCAGGAGGACATTCAAGTCGAGATGACTTTTTTTTTTTGCCTCTGGCCTGATGTCAGAAATCAAAGTTCATCTGTACGAGTGGTTTCCGGCTGTTTGTTCATAAATCATCTCACCTTCATTCTAAAAGCAGGGACGAACACATCGTCCTCGCGGGCTTGAAAATTGACTGCTCAGAGAAGCTTGCCAAACCACGTCCCATTCCCTCACATTTAGCTTATTTCCAGCCTACGCACCCCCTTGCCAATCGGTTTCCGCTGGAAGCTTGATGCGCTGGAGCATGATCGGCTGCCAATCCTTCTTCTCAACCCCCCAGCCGAACCAGTCAGAGAGCCGGAGATTTGGCGACTTGGGTTTCGGGGTCGGGCGGAGCAGAGCAAATAAGTAGCAAACATTGTCCAGGAGCAGATAAGCAGCAAACAGCGCCTCCAGGCTAACCACAGGTAACAACAAGGGAGAGATGTGAGGTGGGCGATGCCCCCGTGCTAATGCAAGCCTCCAACATCAGCCGCAGCGGCACTAGCGCTGCTACGCCAGGCCGTTGACGGTTGTGTTAGGGGTCTGTCACGCTCTCTTCTCACTCTCTCACTCCAAGTGATGCTTTCTTGGTTCCTGTCGATTGGCCACTGCTGGCTTCTGCTGCTACTGTTGCTTTTGCTGCTATACTGAAAGTGCTTGTCTGCAGGAGAGAGGCGGAGGGAGGGACGGTCGACGAATTGGCTTTGTCGAAAGATTCATTAATAGAAGCACCTGAGCCGCGTTCCATTGGACGGCTCGCTGCTGACGGTGGGGCTGGGGATTGGGAACCATGACCGCGCTAAGAGCCTGGTGATGGTTAGCGGGTTCCGCTTTTCTCCAGCCTTACACGCTTGCTCTTCCACTCTTTTATGGACTTTGGAACTCATTGGACGCGATGCTTGTTGCTCTATTCCTTCCGGTGTACGTCTCGAGTCCGACAGTGTCCGTTCCCTTCTGCTTCTGGGGGTTTAAGCATGATGGGCTTGTTGTCCCGTTAAATCATTCGTACGAAAACCGCCTTTCGTGGAGAAGCAGATTCCGACCTGTCGCTGACGCGGTGTAACGGAGCCATCTGCCGATCCCGGGATCACAAGCTCTGCGTCGATGATTCGGAGACCTGTCAGGTAAGCCAAGGGAGGAAGTGAGGGGGTCAGATGCGCGGGAATGGTGAAAGGGGAGCTTGACGAGGGCCCGGAGATTCGTAACCCTGGGAGAGAGGATGGATGACACGGTGGGGAGACTCCATCAAAAGAGCAGGCACCATTTTTGTTTGCTATCTTTCTGAAGAGCTAGCTAGGCACTCTTTGATCAGAGTTTCCACCGACATTGATTCCTCGGGTTTGCACCAAGGTGTCTATCAATAGCCCTCCCGTCCACGTCCGAGTGCGAAAGCTGCTTGTTTATCTCGCCGTCGCCATAATCATCATTCCTGGAGTCCGAGTCCTGCCTTCTTTGTAGAATCTGAACAACGATCTCGAGCAACGACAGAACCGTCAGCTCGCCGGACACACTTGACAAAGCTGCTTGAAGACTAGGTCCCGAGGGAATCGACAGCGCCTCACTCAAGGACGCACGCAAGAAAGGTGCGGTTTCCAGGAGCCAATCGCCCGCGAGGAAAAGCCGTTGGAGCAGGGCCCTTGGCAAGAAAATACCAGAGAGACAGGCCCGCGGATCCTTCGACATTTCTTTGCGCGGCGCAGCCTTGGCGCGTGGCTTGCTGCAGCTGGCGTGGTAGATCCCAGTCGGGAGAGAAAGAGAACCCCCGGTCACCAAACACCAACACCCAACGCGGCGTCTCCAGCTGGACGTCTCGCAGAGCGCCGCGCCGTCAGCAACACCACACACAGAAACCTGAGCCCATTTTCCGACCTAACCAACAAAAGCGAAGCCGCCCCGTGAGACCGACTGTTGCTTGAGCTCGAAGGTCCCGACGTACCTTACCCTGGTCGGTTTCTTCTTAGTGCCTGTCGTTCCCCCTCCATCCCCTGTCTGCCCAACTCCATCCTGCTCACTGCCGTCTTACACCAACCGGGGGTTGCTATTCTGCTTTCCTACCTAATCACATCCTCTACCCACGTAGCCTGCTTCCTTCCTCCCAAATTTCTTCCCTCTTTATTATTTTGCTTCTACTCTCACTGTTCGAAGGCTTTTTGGTACGACAATCCGAATTTGGATTTCGACAGACGGTTTTGGGTAGTGGACTGGAATACGGGTGTGGAACCACCGACTTACACGAGCATCACCAATATCGACTCTTTGCCGAAAACTCGACTCGAGAGACGACTACATCAACAGCCCTTGATTCGGATTTTCTGGACTGGGAGTCTGCGAGGAATACAGTCATGTCCCTCCCGTCGGGCTTATTCGATAATGAAGACGAAGATAGCAACACCCTGTCTCTAGGGGAGAAGGGGAATACACCGTTCTACGAAACGACAACGAGGCCTGAACGGGACGAGGGCACTGGTGTTAAGAGCCCAACAATCGCGGTTGATACAGGCACACTGGGATCGGGCGACAGGGTTATCATGACTTTTGAAAACCCCCATGACGTGAAGTGGCCTGTTGACAGCTCCGTCACGGTCGTGAACGCTACGTGGCAGGGCCGCCAGAGTGACGATAAAGTCGAAACGATCAAGTTTGTCCAAAACCCAAATGTATCGTTCGGTATGCCACGCGTAGGCTTGTTTGCCTCGTCGCGTGACGTCCACACCAAGCGTGAATCCCCAGAATGTAAGCAATATTCAGATGTCGAGATTGCATGTTATTTAACAAATCTGAGCTGTGCTAACCCTGGCGCGTGGTAGTCGAGTTTTTGACAGCCGGAGGAGGACTTAGACTGCCGGTGAATGACACGGCAGTTTCTGCCTACCTGAAGAAAGAGATGTATCTCGTTCTCGGATGGTCCAAAAACGATGGCACCGGCACTGGATATACCCAGAGCGGTGTTTTCACAGTGTACAATGGCTCAAAGATTGATCAGGGGTATGCGGAGACTAAGGAAAACATCTTGTCCAAGATTACCAGCGACGCAGAATCTGCTGGCCAGGATATTGACAGTGGTTCTGAATGGGCTCCGAGGACAACCACCGGAGTGAGCTCTTCGATTACGTCGACTTCCACCGCAACATCCGCTCCCTCATCAACTCCTCCTCCAGGCGCAGGCTCATCAAACTCTAGCTCCAGTTCCGGAGGTGGAGGTGGTCTCTCCGCCGGTGCCATAGCCGGCATCGTAATCGGCTCAATCCTCGGCGTTGCTCTGATTGCATTCCTGCTCTGGTTCCTCATCCGTCGCCGCCGTCGCGCAAATAATGTCCACAGTGGAGGATACGGCTCCGGCCCCCACGAGTTCCTCGCCGACAAGGAGAATCACGCCCGCGTCACCGAATCCCCTCATTCCCCGTACTCCGACGACGGTCATCAGCAACAAGAAATGCAGCAATCGCAGCGCCACCTCACCGAGCCCGAGCATGACGCAGCAGTACCAGCCGCCGCCGCAGCAGCAGTTACCCCTGCCTCCGGCACAAGCCCGACAGAACGCCGTTCGTTTGCGCCGCCGTACAGCGAGGAGGAGCACATGCCAACCGCCTCGCGCTCACTCGAAAACGTCAACCGCGACGCAGCTAGATCGTCCACTCCCAACGTCAACTCCAACGTCTCACATCTCATCGAAGACGGCATGACAGAAGATGAGATAAGGCGGTTGGAAGAGGAAGAGCGAGCGCTGGACGCGGCGATTGAGCAAGCTGGCCAGGGCGGCGGTCAGGGGCAGCGCCGGTAGTCGTCGTAGAGCCCTCGTAAATTTAGATCGCAGACACCCAAAAATGCGGTTTTTCATGTTGCATAATTCTTGATACGAATATCTTGTAGTGTGGCTATTTACCTGTTGATTTTCTTTTTTTTTTCTTCTTGATGGGCGTTTTTTTGCGATTCAGCCACTGTTAATTTACACTACACCATTCGTTTTCGTGTAAGGGCATACGGGCCTAGCATTTGCCCAAGGGAGTGGCAATACCCAGGCCGCGGGGAAGTTGAGCTGTCGGCGTCGCCGTCATCGCGTATGAGGATGATCTGAGGTGTATGGGGTGGGGGAGAAGTAAACAAAAAGGATTCCCGCCGCAGATAAAAGATGGTTGGTGTGTTTGCCTGGCCGTTTACCGTTGTGTGATTGCAGTATTATTTGTAGGTGAGCCTGCAATTGGGGTTTTCACCACGTGGTTTCACTTTGTTCACTGAGACAGATCCCTTAGTGTCCAGCATAAGAATATCTGCCACTTGCCAAGAAAATAAGTCGTTCAAAAACCCGGGTCATGCTTACATGTCTAGTGTACAGTTGGGTATAGCATATTGAAAGTTGTCTGCTCCCACCAGCCTCACGACGAAGGCGACTGAGCCCTTCTCCTCTCTCCTTTTGCGCACTTGAAGGACCGGCAACGTCCCCCCGTTGATCGGATCCTTCTTAACGTGGTACGCTCTTTCTTGGCGTGTTCCAAAGCCCAACGCAGTCGTCTCAAGGGCACGTCCGCTTAATTCCGGCTGAACAGCCGGCCCACCATATTGGATGCAATGCTGCCTGCCAGACCACCAGAGTACAGGGCGCTTCCAGCAATGTTAGAAGCGTGGCTGAACTTGTCGCAACGGGAGAAGGCCATGGCGTTCATGATGGTAAGGACGAGAGCGATGACTGTAAGACAGAGAAGTTAGCCATTCAGGGTCTGCGAAGCCTCTCCTTGGACTCGAAATCTGGGAGAGGAGCTGAGGTTAAGGGGTCCGCAGGTAGAACTTACCAACCAGCGGCAACCACAAGAACTGCAATCTGACCAGCGCAAATATGGCGAGGAGAACCCAGAGTAGCGGCTGGACGTAGAGAGCGAGCCAGAAGAAGCGGCTGTCGGTAGGGTTGACGGTCTTCGTGCCTGGCTCGCTGCTCTCGAACACCCACTGCGAGTCGCCCGTCTGGGGATCCACCTCGTTCCACCAGCGCAGCCCGACGAGTCTACGACCGGCAATGTTCTTGAGATAATAGAAGTCGGCGGCGAGGAGGAGAATGGTAATGATAAAGATCATGATCCTGTGGTGGGACTGTCAGCGATAGTTCAGAGTGCCGTATGCGACTTCAGGTAGGATCGGTGCGTGAATGAAGTAAACGGGTCGATCCTCCAAAGGCATAGCCATTCGGTCATGACCGGATGCAGGTTCGGTTATTCGCTTCGTGTGTTCGTTGCAGGGAGAGAGAGGGCCATGCGACAACGTACATGCTCTTGATGATCCATAGTCCGAGGAAGTACACGAGGACGCTTGCTGTTACGAGCCATTGTCAGCTGGCCAATCTTCCCTAACAGAAGAACACGTGGAATCTGGAGGAGACGTACATATGCGAAATGCAAGAAAGGTCAATAGGGTGATGGGATGCGAGCTCAACCGCCAGCTGAGAGAGCCGGGGGCCTCTTGTTGCGGCTGCTGCTGGTTCGACTCCATCGCGGGCGACTTTATTTTGCGAGTACGAACTCCGAAGACACGTTAGGCTGGTGGACTGAATTGAATGCGATCAAACTCTCGGTTTCGTTATCGTCGTGCGCATGTCGTGGCTTCGTGAGAATGTGTTGTTCTTGGTTCGGACGTAAGGGATTGGGAAGAGAGGGATGCCTGCTCCTCTAGAAACTAACACGGTACACACAGCTGTCGCGGGCGCATGCGTGGACAGCTACACCACTGCGTGTGCACCCACCCCCAAAACCACGTTGAAGCTACGGTAAGCTGTTCGGTGCGTGGAGGCTGAGTTGTTCCGCAAGGGGTGCTGTTGAGCTGCACGGGCCAATGAATTGGCGTCAGCTGCAAGGGCCCAAGGGCGGTCGACTGCGGCAGAAACTTACCGAGTGGGTTACATCATCAGACAGACAGACCCCAGGAGCTCAACTCGCGACCAAATAGCCGACTTGGCTGGACCACTCGGCGCACGAGTTACCGAGAACCGTCTTTAAAGCAACCACAAACTGCCGGATCAGAGGGGTAGTGAATGGTTACATAGGTATCTTCACTGTGTGTTGAGGACTCTCATCGCCAGCTACACCTAACGTAATTTGAGAAGTCAGCCTTTGTTTTGAATTCACTATCAAATTCCAAGCTCTTGTCCACTCAAGTCCAATACTATAGCCACGGTATCCATCATGGCTGCCAGGTCCTCATCAATCATCCGGCGGGCGCTTCTCTACGGTTAATATACTCGCAACACTCATATCATCTGATAAACTGATGTTTTCCCAGTGCCTTCTTCATCGGAAAAGATGCTCACAAAGTCGCTGGGTCTCAAATCAGACAACGTAACATATGACCTGGAGGACTCCGTGACTCCCTCATTGAAAGCTCAGGCCAGGGGTCAACTTCGATCGTTTCTCTCCAACCAAACAAGTCGACCGCCCTTCATATCCGAATTGGCCGTTCGAATCAATGCTGTGGAGACCAAGTTTGCACTGGACGACCTTACTACTCTCGGATCTCTTCCCAATGTCGATGCCATCGTCGTCCCCAAGGTCAACTCCGCCGCCGACCTAACGTATGTAACCGATGTGTTGCGTCATGTCGCCCCCGAGAGACACACTGCCAGCTCGGAAACCCCTGTCAAAATTATTGCATTGATCGAATCTGCGCGCTCTGTCATGAACCTCGCCGAAATCTGCAAGGCATCCCCGTACCTCAGCGGATTGGTCTTTGCCGCCGAAGACTTTGCTCTGGACCTTTCGCTTACCAGAACACCATCGCTTACCGAGTTTCTTTACGCAAGATCTGCTATCGTAACTGCTGCCAAGGCCACTGATCTACCCAGTGCTATTGATCTTGTCTGTACTTCGTATAAGGGAGACGAAGGTCTGAAGAGGCTAGAAGAAGAGTCTCTGGGTGGAAAGTCAATGGGATTCAACGGAAAGCAATGTATACACCCTAACCAGGTCGAGCTGGTGCAAAAGATGTTTGCTCCCGGCGAAAAGGAGGTAGAATGGGCAGTTCGTGTTGCCATCGCCGACGAGAAAGCCAATGCCGCAGGTCGCGGGGCTTGGACTCTAGACGGTATGATGATCGATGCGCCGGTGACGGGGAAGGCAAAGGCTATCATTGCAAAAGCAGAAAAATGCGACCTTGACGTGGCTCGTCTGCGATCCAAATGGAAGGATCAACAGCCTGAGTAAGCCGAGCTAGCTCGAAGTCTAGAATAAGTTCGGCGACCACAGCTCGCGCACTTCTGCTAGCTCATCGTCTTTGTCCGCTTTATTTAGCTGTGTTCTGCTCGAAGGAAAGTCAATTTCGAAGCTTCTATTGTAACCGTCCACTGGCAATCGTCGTGTTCTCTTGTGGTTGTTGTCTGCTGAATCTGTAATGTGCCAGCTTGAGTGTTCCGGCTGTCGTTCGGAGACCGCAAGTTCGCGACGAGGGTTTTCGGTATAAGGTGTCTTCGAATACCTTATATCAAGACGACTATTATTCAATGCACTTCCGTGGTACGAATTCGTCACGCCTTCTTCAGACCGGTTTCCGAACGCATCCTGCTCGGCGCGTGCAATGAAATCAGCCAAGCTCTCACGGGGCTGAGATAGCGGCGTATCGATACGTCTTGAATGGTCCTTGCAGCCCATTATTTGTCCATGGCGATGGCCTCGAAAACGCGGTTCTTGCAGTAGATGGAGCGGTGGACGGAAAGCACTCTCTTCACCGCTGCCAAATCGAATACGCGGCTGAGCGCCCATGAACTCGGTATATTCGTCGTACAAGGCGGTTGAAGGGCCTGGGATATGGTCCCAATTCAATACTTCGTCGCATAGAGTGCTCGATCTCCATGCCGAATTGGATAGATTTGGCGCACCACTTATGACAGTGAGCGGCGTAGAGTTTTGAACCTGTTGAGATCTAAGTGCCGCTTCTCTTGACTCTAGGTTTCGTACAGGTCCGTCGATGGTCGTAGATGGTTTGCAGAGAGCCTCGCCTGCTCTTTCGGGGGCTGGAGCAACGCCTTCCATGCCGTTGCTATTCCCGCAAATAGCGTCGTCCGCAACATAAACATGTAACTGGGGCTGCTTTGCAGCCGATGATGTCTGAGTAGACATTGTTTTTGGCACGATATTGACCGGCATTCGTTCAGAAACATGATTAGCTGTCAGACCCTGTTCGTTTCGTTGATCTGGGGGGAGCCTGCTTGATACTCCCTGTCCGTTCTGGTCAGTATTGTCGGCTGCCGCGATTGGTGCAGGCAATTCTTGGGTATTGACACTGCTTTTCACTGAACTGACTCCACCATCACAAGCGTTGTCGTGGCCATAAGAGGGCAACTCTGCAGGCTTGACCTCGAGCTGGTCGTTGGGCACGGGTGGAAGATCGGCCGCTGTCATTACGCCTTTGTCTTGGTATCGAATGATACCCCGTAATTGCACAGGGCTCGCTTGGTGTGAATCGCCGCCCGGACGGGCAGACACATCTGTGCCCATGCAGTGTTGCTTTTGGCTTTTCGATTTATCGCCTGGCACCGCATTCGTCTCTCTCCCGCTCATCGATTTTCCAGTGCCATTGAATACTCCTGTCTCCTGCAGGCCGTTCCTGATAGTTTCTGGAGTGCTACTGGCATCCCTGCCATTACAAGCTAGTGGCATCGATGGCTGTGTTTGCTCGCTCGTAGGCCATGACACACAGCTGGTCGCCATGCTACTGGCTCGTGGTAACAAGGCTGACAAGAATCCACTACTTTGCGGCCGCAGTCGGGCTTCGCCTGCTCGTAGTGCTAGACCTCTTTCAAACGAT